CTAAATGGAATGAATACTTTTATAGACCTTATTATACAGAATTTCTCTGATAGTTTTCACACTGTTGAATGCTCTTTCTTCAGACTCTTTGACCTTTGGCTTTGTGGGAACTGGCGGCCACTTGATCTCCTCTGGGTGCCCTCATACAGTTTCTTGTAGGTCTTTCTCAGGAATTTTTTCTAGCCCAATGTTCCTGTGGTTCATCATTGACTCTGTTCTTTAAAGTGCTCTCTCTGTGCAAGTCAGCCACCCTCCAGGCTCTTTTAGACTTCACACTGAATGCCTGCAGTATATCTCCACTCAGATATACCATTACCACATTGAAAATATATGCAAGGAGAACATGCCTTCCTCTTCAAGGTGTCCTTTAAACATGCTATTTTAGGTGGTGGTACCATAGCTTATTGACCCCTTTCAGCACCCTACCCCCCACCACAACTGAGTTACCAAATCTCACTCATTTTTCCTTTAAAAGGAGTCTGAGATTTGATTCATTTCTCTATCCTTTTCAGAGTCCTATAGCTTACACTCACACAACATCTCTGACTGGATCTTTGGTTTAATGATTCAACATGTTTCATTCCACTCTAGTTTTATGCAAAAGAAGTGGGAACCATCTCTACTCCGTGGAGCTTAGTGGTAGCTGGACTGCCTTTTTCTTATGTTAGAAATGTCTTGTGGCCAGAATCTCTGCCTTGACACAAGCTAAATACATTCTCATTTGGAGAGTATGCAATGTGGTGTTCTAGAGATACAGACTCTGTCTATCTTGTTATTTTCCTATTTTAACGCATCCTATTCAAATTGTTGTAAAACCCTAGCAAATCCATGGAGCAAGGTTTCCATTGCCTAGTTGTGGAGTGGCATACTTCACAATTACATTCATTCTATGTGAGCTGCAAGGGAGTCTGGACATCTGGGCCAAGCCCAGGAGAAACTGGAGATAATTTAGGAATGAAACTCCAGTTATCCCCATACTCACTCTTTGTTTATTCCCTAAGTCCATGCTGTAAGCATAGTGAGTCTGCAGTGAAACCTGGTGCTTGTTTCCTGTAGTCAATGGCCCCTTTAAAGCTCAGAAAAGTGCTTCTGGATCTGGCCTTTTGCCATGTCTCCAGTGTCCTATCTTACAACTTTTAGATGTACCTCATTCTATTATTGTGCTTCCATGTCCCATATCTGATTATATCACCCCCAGCCTTGAACTATCATATTGGGGCACAGATTCCTTTTCCAACAAGCTGAGTCTGCTTTTCTCTCACCTCAGATTAAACATGTCCCCCAAGGTGAATTTTCTGCTGCTTGTCTGGCTGTGGATTGCGATTGGCACCATTTGAGCTCTATACATTTTTCTGACTGCACTTATCTGCTATGATTTGTTTTTCATCTATCTCTTCATTTGGTCTCTGAGTTCTCTAAGGACAGGACTATTTTGCTTTCAGGCTCCCCAGGGCTTGACAAAAATTTGCAGAGACTGCACTCATGGTTTTCTGAGTGCTTCTGTTGGCTCCATTTATTCTCTGGGATGTCTTCTCTATTTTGCCTATCTTTGCTTTCTTTCATTGTGAGTCATGGTTATAAGATTACAAGAGTTTGATTGACTATAGATTTGACCTGTGTGATGAGATATTTGACTTGACTATGGATTTTATTTTGGAGGAGCTATGCTTTAAAATAAACAGTTAAGCAAGTATATAAGTAGATAGAGGAGCCCAATGAAAAAGCTACAGTTCCCTGTTTTGTGCATTTGGTCAACAAAACC